TCACTTTGAACTCATTATGATGATGCATTACCGAGTGGGCCCAAAGATACCTCCCCGTCATACGGAGTGACAAATCCCAGTCTCGATCCGTGTCAACCCAACAGACACTTTCGGAGATACCTGTAGTGCACCTTTATAGCCACCCAGTTACGTTGTGACGTTTGGTACACCCAAAGCACTCCTAAGGTGTCCGGGAGTTACACGATCTCATGGTCTAAGGAAAAGATACTTGACATTGGAAAAGCTCTAGCAAACGAACTACACGATCTTTGTGCTATGCTTAGGATTGGGTCTTGTCCATCACATCATTCTCCTAATGATGTGATCCCGTTATCAACGACATCCAATGTCCATAGTCAGGAAACCATGACTATCTGTTGATCAACGAGCTAGTTAACTAGAGGCTCACTAGGGACATGTTGTGGTCTAAGTATTCACACGTGTATTATGATTTCCAGATAATACAATTATAGTATGAATAAAAGACAATTATCATAAACAAGGAAATATAATAATAATCCTTTTATTATTGCCTCTAGGGCATATTTCCAACAGGTGGTGGCTAGAGGGAGAGGAATGACCTCACTGCGGTTGTTGCATCCTTCCTCGGGAAAGGAATGGCCGGCAGGCGTTGCATCCTCGAGGAGACGAATGGCGTTGTGCTTGGTTGCATCCTTCCGATGGGAGACGAATGGCACTGCTAGGGGTTGCATCCTCCGTCCAGTGGGGGATGCGGATGCAAGGTTGGAAGCACGTCGAGCTTGTTGGGGAGGTGTGGTTGGCCGTGGAGGCAGGGATAGTGTTTCGTTGTGTAGGCTGATCGGATCCTGGGTTCGGGCTATGTAGGTGAGACTGCCGGCGAAAGTCGTACTCCGGTTGCGGCGGGAGTCGTCGATGGCTGCGCTGTCTGGCGTCGCTCTCGCGTTGGAGGCATTGATGTAGCTGCTCTCATTTTGCCTTTCCCGACGTGCTCCGGGGGATACCCTTGATCCAGTTTAGGTCGAACGATGGTGACGCTATTTGGTGTCGCGTTCTCTCTTGGGAGCATCGTTTCTGGAAGTGGATCCGGTCGGAGGGACCCGTGGCTTGTGAGGGTGTATGTGTTGTTTGCCGAAAGGCGCTGTTTGTATGGTTTTTGGGTCCGATTTCCCTTATAAACTGGACCAACATTCTTTCTCCTGATCAATGAATTTGGTAAATCAACTACCAACATTAAAAAAAAGAATCCAGGCTACCCGTCCGTATACGCAAAGTTGTTCCTAAAATGTGATGATGGGCAAATCCATTGATGACCGATGAGTTTTTTTATGAGAACATGACCGATGAGTACGTTGTACAGACCTGGTTTTATTAAAAATATACTCCTTCCGTTCCATAATGTAGGACATTTTTTGACATTAGTGTAGTGTCAAAAAGCATCTTACATTATGAGACTGAGGGAGTAGATTTTAATTAAGCTCCACTTCTTTGTAAGAGTATCAACACGGTCTGCGGTAAAAACAATTGAAGCTCTGCATTACGCGTAGTTAGTTACTCCGCATCTAGGTGTTTTCGATTTGTGTGGTTTTCGTAAGATGATTTATGAACCGGTACGGAGGGAGTATTATAATATCCCCTCCGCTTTCACAATAATTAATATTCTAGAATTCTGCTATGACAAACTTGCTTAAGTTTGATCAGCTCTACAAAAAGATTTACTAAGATCTACAATACCAAATACATATAATACGAAAGCATACTTCATAAAGAATCTCACGAGACTAATTTGATGCTATAGATGCGATATATTTCAAGAATTGATTAAACTTAAACAAACTTGACTTAGAACAAAACCAAAACTTCAATTATTTTGGAACACAGGTAGTATTTTGCCGAGCAGCAACTAGCTAGGCCGCTTTTACCAGATGCTCCTCGTCCTTGGGCCGAAAAGCTGCACGGGGATGGCGTGCGATACACCCTCGTCGGTGCTCTTCGTCTCCGACCTCAGGGCGGAGAGAAACCTCATTGACCGACATGGTACTCTTCTCCGGCAAGTTGATTCACCATGACTGGTTCTTCTCAACTAGCGGGGCCATGTCAATGATCACCCAGGACACGAAGGAGAGTGGATAGCAGAGGGTGATGAGGTACAGTTACGTGCCATTTGGACCATGTCTTTGGGTTGATTGATGATCTAGATTGGTATGAGTTGTATGTTTTACTTTGGTGCTGTCCTATGGTGCCTACGTGTCGCGCAAGCGTGAGGGATTCACGCTGTAGGGTGTTGCAATATGTCCATGGTTTACTTATTGTATGCGTTGCGTGAGTGACTGAAACACAAGCACGGATAAGTGGGACATGTCGTATGAGAATAAAGAGGACTTGATACTTAAATGCTATGGTTGGGTTTTACCTTAATGATCTTTAGTAGTTGCGGATGCTTGCTAGAGTTCCAATCATAAATGCATATGATCCAAGAAGAGAAAGTATGTTAGCTTATGCCTCTCCCTCATATGAAATTGCAATAGTGATTACCGGTCTTGTTAAGAATTGCCTAGAACAATTCCGCACACCGACCCATCATTATTCCACACTCGCTATTTGTAATATTTAGTAATATATTCTAAATTTATGATAACAACACCTACTTTTATATTTTAGCTCTTCGATATCATACAAAGTTATCCTTTTCATACCCACAACGTAGTTTTATTTCTCGTTTCTAGTTGGAAGCAAACGTTCGGTGTACGTAGAGTCGTATCAGTGGCAGATAGGACTTGAGAGAATATTGATCTTGCCTTTAGCTCCTTGTGGGTTCGATACTCCATGCTTATCACTTACACCTTTGGGAATTGCTACGATGATTCCCTGCACTTGGGGATTATCAGCGATGCTCGAAGTAGGCGAAGAACCATGACAGTGTGACGAAGACCAACACGGACGGTGGCGTTCCCACTCCAAGGGATACGAAGCGACACATACCACAGGAAGTCGACGCGCGGGGACGCCGAAGTGGACCGCGAGCCACGGCACTACGGCCCGAAGTGGCGACGCAGCGGCGGCGGGCAGGTCGGGGCGACAGCGGAAAGGCCTCGGGGCGGCGGCAGGGACCGCGGTCCGCGGCGCTACAGCCCAAAGGGGCGGTGCAGCGGTGGAGCGCGGGTCGATGCAACCACGGGGACGACCTCGGGGCGTCGGCTGGGACCGTGTATCGCGGCACCACGGCCCGTAGGAGCGACGTAGCGGCGACGCGCGAGACGATGCAGCCGCAAGGAGAACCACAGGGCGGTGACGCTGTGGCCCGACGGGGCGACGCAGTGGCAGCCCGTTGCTCGATCGGTGGAGGGGCACGCTGAACTCGGGGACGATCTTCACGGGACCTGCGGAGGCGCGCAGAACCAACGGGCCAGGTCGGTCGCACGGCGTAGATGAGGCAGATCGCAGTGGCGAGCGAGTGATCAAGCCGATCGCGCGTGAGGCCGGGGATGCCGCTCGGTGGAGGAGGGGTGGCGGTGGAGTCCGAGTTGAGGTTGGCGACGACGAACGGCATGGGACGTCGTGCGGACGAGCTTGTCAGCACCGGCACCCGGGCTGCCAAAGCAGCGCCGACTCCCGGACAGCGAGGCCCGAGCGACCAACGGAGCAACGGCGCCCGAGTTGAGGCAGTCGACGAGCCTGACGCAGCCGAGGACGAGGCCGGCGAGGTAGACCGTCGGGCCGCCGTGCAAACGCGGCGGAGGCGGGTGGCATGGATTGATTGGGGAGCCGACCCGCGAGCGGCAGCTATGATTGGCCACCGCATGACGTGAGGTCGTCGGGTTTAGGCGATGCAGGTGTCCCGGTCGGAGCAGGGCGGTGACGGCCGGCGTAGGGCGACGGGCGGGCCGGCGCGCAGACGACAACCTCGAGGGCTGCCTGTCGTGCGAGGCCGCCCGGTCGGTGAAGTAGCCGGCCGATCGCGCCGGTGTCGGAGTAGAGACGCAAACCGATCAAGCATAGATCAAAAAACAAAAAAGAAAAACACCGATCAAAACGACCGGCGAGAGAACGAAAAACCCCGGAGTAAGGGCTCGGAAAAAGACTCTCTAGGGCAACCGACCAACATGGCCGGCGGACGAATCCTAGATACGGGCGGTGCGGCCCCCGGCGGCGGTCATGGACACCGACCATCCAGGGGGACGGTGCGCGGGTGCGGAAGCGGGTGTAGAAGTGCATGCTCTAACCAATGCAACCAAAAGACTGATCTGGTGAAAGAGACTAGGCAGCACATTATACGTCAACACTCCCCATCGCGTGTGGCTCCCTCAGGCCTAAACGTGGACCTAAACGTGGACCAAAAGTGGGCTGCAATATAATTGCGCCAGCCGGATCTCAAGACCTCTTGGCTCTGATTCCATGTTAGAAGGGAGAGAGGGATTTGATGAAATAGTTTGATGTATTGTTTGAGCCTCATGGGCATATATATAGAAGTATAATGATCTACTTGAAGTACAAGACAAGTCAGAACAAATTCTAGTCTATCTCGTCTTTTCTAATAATCACGATATCAACAATAAACAACGGCATTGAGCAATAGCATAGTCATAGAACAGCAATCTGAGTGCAAGATTCTATCAATTGCATTTAGAACAAATGAATTTGTCTTGCTTATATGTATACAATAATACAAGTGCATCTGTGCATGTAAATCTCCATTAAATCGGTTAAAAAAAGGACCGATCCAAAGCAGATTATCCAGCAAGAACAGAAACGCTAACCACCAAAAATGCAGTCTGTACAAGATCGAACACTGATCCTATCTGATTCTAAAGAGTCTACACGAATAGCTGGAGCAAGACCGGCGGCCGGTCGAAGGCGGCCTGGTGCGTCGCCTCCTGATCCGACAGAGCGACCCACCGGTGGATGGCGCCGCTGAGCGCCATATCCTCGCGGAGCCGACGCATGTGGCCGCCGAGCGCCTGCCCCGTCTCGAAGCCCAGCCCACAGATGTTGCAATCGTGCTGCTGCTTGTCCTCCTGCCGCTACCGCTTCTTGATGGCCCTGGCGACACCGACGCCGAGCTCCAGCCCGTGGCGCCCCCGGAGGTGGCTGGTCCGGTGGCCCCCGAGCGCCTGGAACGTCGTGAAGGCGCGGCCGCACGTCCTGCACACGAACTCCCCTTCTCCCGACGTCGCCACCACTCTTCCCCGCCGCGTCCTTTTCATGGCCGGCGCACTGGCCGAGTCGGCCGACGTCGTGGAAGACGACGTCGAGGAGTCCGTGCTCAGCGAAAGCGCGAGCAACAATACCTCCTTCTCCCTCGCGCGCCTCATTCCCGCCCCCATGGATGGATTTGCTGCTCGTGTAAATGATCTGCTGGAGCCGCGTGTGGATTTCGATGGATGCTCTTTTGTGTTGATGGTCTGTGGGAAGCAGTTATATATAGGTCGTGTGCGCAGTAGGTGGTGGAGTGGAGTGCGTGTTGCTGCGGGCGGAGCTTACGTTTGTGCTTGTGTGGACCAATCGCTGGATGCCACCGCGACCTTCGAGACGTGACGGATGGGATCGAGCTCGATGGGATATTTGTGGTCGTACGTAGCGCGGGCCGACCGGAGGGGAACGTGTGGTGCCGAGTGGCGTCACCTGTCACGCCACAAGGCGCGTCGCGGCGCGCCTCTGCTTGGCTCTGGAGTTGGACGGCGCGTGAGTGTGACACCGGAAGGGTCTAGAACGTTCTAGAGTCCGAAAGGATATTTGGATCGTACAACATCATTCAGATTTTTCTACGCCACACGTTTTAAGGTCACGCCACGTACGACCGCCACGCTGGTCTTCGTATACAAGTTTGGTACCTTTTGAATTCACAGAAAGAAAAAAGTGTTTGGTACGTTTTGATCTCCTACAGAAAAGTTTGGTACTCTCTCCGATCTGAATTAATTGTCGCAACCACTATACAGTGATAGTTAATTCAGATCAAAGGGAGTACCTCTTTTTACGGAAGAAAAATGGTTAGGTGATCTGTTGATACCGACCTTTTTTTTCTGATGGGAGTTATCCGTCTGCACTGACTGAGACACTGCCACTTCACTGGGCATAATATTTCCTGAAGCGAATGAGAACTTGATAACATTATGATTGATTTTCAGTGACAATCTTCTTTACTATGAATGTAATGGAATTCGACAATTACTCCATTAACGGAACGGATAAAATAGTCCGGGCTCTTGAGTTCGAGGGTGGCACTTTTTTTACAAAAACAAAAGTTGGAGGGTGGCACAAGCATGAGAGTGTGGACCGGAGGGGCCTAGAACGTTCTATCGTCCATGAAAAGATCTTTGATAGTCCTTCAGATTTGTTTAGTGTCTATGCTAGTGGTATGTACTCAACCTAGTATACCGGAGAAAAAAGTTTGGTAACTTGCCGTGACATATGGAGTGATGTTGGCTCTTGCTTGTTCTGATTGATCTATTTCCTTATTATTTTCGCAATACTTGTATTTGGTAAAGTGAATGAGAATGTCCCTAAATTTTAATTGATGACCTTCCTTATTTATGAAAGAGGCTGTGTACATCGTTTTTTTTGCGTGATACATTTTTTCTATTGTCCCCCTCTCTCAGAAATGCTAGAACGGATAATTTGGGTAGCACATTCAGGTCATTTTCTTTCCCGTGTCCGCCCCTACCAACTCATAACAAACTTAGCGCACTTCATACAACCTTTCCATGTTCCACATACGTAATCAGTTAGTTATCCATAATCGGAACCTAGGTTCAAATCACGTACCCACCCGAAGAGCAATTGTCGCCTACTCTCTGCTCACTCTTGTTCTCTTCGTGGTATACACTAGTGTCTTTTTCTGCTGATGATTCAACGCATTGTTACCTGTCATTACTTCTAGCACATCGAGCATTAGTTACATCGAGAGGGCTAGCATACATCCCTGGTGATTCCACGCGATTCCTTCCTTATCCATGCCGGATTCCCTTCCCCGCATGACTTGGGGTTATGCACTCTAGAATAGTTATAACTCGTGTATGTATACACAATTATTTCTTCTATAGATGCGTCATTCCTATAAATGCATTTATATTTTTTTAAACAAGAAAGAAAGTCCAACCAAAACGTGCAGCTCCTAAGCCGCACCGGTCGATGGTCTATGTGGCTTTCCATCTCCCTCCACGAACAAGTATATACTTCTACCAATTTTTTTGACGTAAAACTGGTTGGTTGTGTTGAGCGCGCGACTTAAGGCCAAATCTAGGTGGGGATACAAAATTTATGCGGGTTATGGTGTATTGTCACATTTGTTTGTTTATAATATATATAATTAGAGTTTTTGGACGTTTGCATGTTATTCCAAAGTCTAAACATTTGATGAAATGTTGTTGCCACTACTTCATGACTTGGAGGCCCAAGTGTATTTTGCTTTTCTGTGCAGACAGTTGGAGATGGTAGCATGTGAGTTGTTCGACGACTGAGTCAAAGACCCTCTTTCAAAGGAAAGTATTGCACATGGAATTCGTCCTCGCGGGGTTATTTATCAGGGTTGATCGACTCGACTCGTAGGCGACTCAGTTGGAACAAAATAACAAACGAATCAACGTAACATATATATAGTCTCTGTAATGAACGAATGAACAAGTCAGGAAATATGTACATGTACGTCAAAGTGAACGAATGGACAAGTCCCGAAATATGTACGTGTTCGTCAATATGGACGAATGAACCAGCGATCAACACTTACTAGTGTGCAGCAAATGTACAAATCCAATCGTGCACACAGGTGAACCAGTAAACCTACGACTAGAAAGAAACCAATGGAGCTAGCTAGACGAAGAGCTGGAGCAGAACGGGGGGTGCCTGCGCCGTGGTGGCGACCGCCTCGTCACGGTGCCGGCGCATGTGGCCGCCAAGCGCCTGCCCCATCTCGAACTCGAGCCCGCAGATGTGGCACTGGTGCGCCTGCTTCTGGTCCGTGGTCTTCTTGGTCGCCGGCTTATCGGACCCGGCAGCGAGGCCGAGCGCGAGCCCGTGGCGGCCGCGCAGGTGGCTTGTCCGGTGCCCGCCCAGAGCCTGGAATGACGGAAACGAGCGGCCGCACGTCTTGCACACGAACTCGCCGTCCACGCCGCCGCGGCGCATCTTCTTGCTTCGGTCGGCCACGGCGCCGAGGGCCAGCGAGAGGGAGAGGGACGAGGAAGCGCCGGCCTCATCTCTGTGATGCTTCATTGACGAAACCATGTCGTGGCTAGTCGGATATTTGCTCAACAAGAGTTCGTAGTTCTTTGCGGAACGATGGAGTGGGAGAGGGAGACGAGAGATGGATGCAGTCACTCGGAAGAGCTCGGAATTGGCTGTGGATGTGGCTCGGATCGTGCAGGGTTAGCCTTTTATAGTGCTAGCGGTGGGGACTGGCTGGTACTAGTAGCTACCAGGTACATCGCTTGTGGACGGACCCCCGTCTGGCTCGACGACGACTTGGAGCCCGTCGCGATCGGCGGCGACCTGGCTATAGCGCAGGTCTGGAAAGATAGAACCTTCTCCTCTGCTCACGTCAGCTTGAGTAATTGCTTAGCTTGCTCCCAGGTAGCCCGTCACGCGGTTACGTGCATGTGGACACAAGACCATCTACAACCACATATGATAAATATGACCCCTAAAACGTTTACGGACATGTTTGGACACGTCCGTGGCAATGATCAGACACTTCTTAAATTACCACAACTACATCCGAACACCTTATACTAAATCTTAATTCCATACAGAAGCATGCAAACCAAAAACCTACTTACGACGTAGATTACCTAGCTACTTCTCGTCACAAACGTCGACTATATCCATGCCCAGCTCCGGGTACATGGACGGCAGCTGCAGCTCCGGCTCCTCCTGCTGCTCCGCCCCGGGCTCTTCCTCTATCTCTGCGTCAAGTTTAGCAAAGAGCGCATTGGACACCGCCCGCTCCTTACGGAGAAACTCCCGGTTAGCCTTCTGTTAGAATAAATCCGAGGTACGCGGTCGATCATCCGAGGAACAAGCAATCACAGACAATGACGACACCGGGATTTGTTAACGAGGTTCGGCGAACTCGCCTACTCCCCGGGGCAATGACTACGGACGCTCCTCCCCGAGATACCGCAACACCGGCCACCCAGGCGCCGGCACAAGCCGCCAGCACCCCTTGCGAGCCTGTCGCTATCTAGTCATCATGGGTTACAACGTGGGGTGCCTCCTCATATATAAGAGGCCAAGGGTACAACGTGTCCGGCTCCGACACTACAAGTATCCTACCCACACTACAACACCAAGTTCAAGCGTAACCCAACTAGTACAAAATATTCGACACAAACACACCACATTCACATAGGCCTCATCATGGATGGACTCCGGGATGGTCTGCAGTTCCATCATCTTCGCGTCTTGGGCGACGTGAACTCAGCCTCCGCCTCCTCCATGCTGACTCCCGAGCAGGCTGCTTCGCCTCGTCCTCCTACGAATCCACCACCTTCATCGGCTCTGGCAGTTGCTCTCCCTCCTCCTCGTCCGGCTGTTGCTCCTCCTCCTCCTCCGGCTCCGGCGAGTCCGAAGTCAGCCCGACAGCGATGCAGGCGGCGCGCCTCGCCTGGATCTCCTCCGTGATCTGCCTCCGACGCTCTAGAGTGAGTACATGGTGATTTTCTGTCGGACCATGGCGATGCCGGAGAGCGTGGGAGAGTGGGGGAGAGGAGACGGATGGGCTCGGGTTGCGGTGCAGAGAGGAAGGAGGCGGATGGGCTAGGGTTGGGGGACGCCGGTCGGCTTAAATAGCCGGATTTGACCTCGGGCAACTAGCCGGAGCGGCGCCACGCGGCGTTCGCACAACAGTGGCGGAGGTGACGTCCGCCGGACCGCCGCGTTTCTGAGCGATTCTGCATGGGACACCATCATTAGTCCTAAGTGGCGGACACGTCCGGACACGCCCGGGCGCCCCATATCCGCCCCATATTTGGGCTGGATATGAGGGGTGCCGGTCAGCCTGGGCGTTTAAAGCCCGTTTGAGGCGCCCGACTGAATCGATTTTTTGTGATCGGTCTGCCTGCCCGGATGTTTAAGGCGGGTTTGAGACGCCCAACTGTGGATGCTCTGAGGGCCCGTGGAGTGGAACGCACGAGGTCCATGTCTGGGACGAGACTTGCCTGCGCCCTGGGCGTGCGTCCATCTGTGCTCCCGCGTACGTGGCTTGATTTAATTATTAGAACAAAATAAGGCCCAGGCCCACCCCGTTAAAATCGGGGAGGGGGGGGGGGGTGATTAGATTAGGTAGGAAAAAGGAAAAAACAGCCATAAGATAAAGTGAGAGCACAAATGGAAGCATGGAAAGGGAGCAAGCAAGCCTGATTCGCATGTCCGTCGTAGTTGGCATTAGTTGCTGCACCGATTTGACGACCATTCTTTCGCCAAAAGAAAAAGTGCGCGCATACGATTCCACACTTCATTCTTTTCTTTTACCGGGACTGTTCCAAATTTCTAGTTGTGGCTCTTCCTATGGAATTTATCGCTATACGAATGGCTTGCACTACAACACGGTAGAGATTTGAAGGCATCCAAAAACGCCTTTGAAAGGCCAAAAAATGCCTGCAGAGATGTAACACGGCGTTTTAGAAAAATGCTAGGTACGATCGCGAAGGGAAAAGCTTGTGCAGGCACTTTTGAAGAATTTCTCCGATGCTCAGCCTATGTAGGCACTTTCTGAAAATGCCTCCGATGCTCATGACTTACGAGGGCATTTTGAAGAACGCCTCGACGTGTCTTCGAGGGCGTTTATGAAAAACGCCTGTAAACTGCAATAAAAACAAACACTAGGTCAGTCGGAACAAGCACGCCCGCTGAATGCATGCATCAGCAGCATCACTCCACACGCTGAAACACTGCTGCTGCTGGGCCTTTCTCACATACACACAGATATCATCTTAGAGCACACATGACTGAATACCATCCTTTCCGCTATCAGTCTATGTATGAGAACTGTAAGGCACATAATGCGGCTCTCCTTTTAAACCGGCCAAATTTTAGTTCGGCAAGCGGTATGGGACTAAATAAATTGCAACTTTGTTCTGAACGAGAAATAGCTCACGCAAAAAATGAAAAACGCGCATACCATGACTCGAACCATCGACCTCCGGTCTTTCATAGTGAAGTTTGCCGACCAACTAACAAGTCGGCTTTCTTGACGGTACTGCACGCACTGCCTTAATACGATTTCTTCATCTGCCACGTCAGTCAAAGGAGTGGAAGCCCGTACGGGTACATATATTCCATACAATACAGACTAAATTGAAAATCTAACCGAGATTTGGAGGCATTTTTCTCCAGAGCGCCTTCAAGTGTGTGCGGGCAGTTTACAATACGCCCCCTAATCTTTGATATATTACGGCATTTTCTGAAAACGCCTCTAAATCTGAAGTGGTGTTCTGCAAAACGCATCTCAAACTGTTACATATTGCTGCACTTTTTCAAAACGCCAGTAATTAAGCATCTTTTGAGGCGTTCCTCATAAGTGCCTCCTAACAAGAGACATTTGAAGGCGTTTTGTTCGGAACGCCTTTAAGAGGGGTAATCTAAGGCACTTTTTTTAATGCCTCATAGAAAATGCCTTTGTTTCTTAACTGTGTTGTAGTGTTGGCGCGTTATTCTAAATTCTCTGCCACAGTCCACAGCTATGGAATTTATCTCTTATCATGACACACGAGCGACGCGCTCGAACGATCGTCGGTGTGCATGCATTACACACGCACGCGTGTGCATGTGCTTGTTTTTCACGGAAATGACTACATATTCTGACTAGCTAACAGCAATACGCGCTAAATTAGTTCTTTTGCACGGCAAGCCATGACCATGCGGAGACCCTCGACAGATCCGTAGCGACGACGCGGATCCAAGTCAATTGCCATTGGCGTGACGTCCATGTTCTATAGCTTATGACATACTACATCTCTATCCTTTTCTCGTCATTCCTCTCTTCTAGTCTCATTAGTGTTCCTCTGCCCCTCTCCTTTCTTTTCAAAGTTGTCGTCAAGTTCCTAATATCCGCGTTCATGCAACACAAACTCTAGGGGCCATCATGCACCAATAGGCGTGTCACTAGTTTTCTAAGATGAAAGTTGTAGGGAGCGCCCGGTTTTATATATCATAAAGCCCCATGAAACGGATCCGGCAAAAATTCACAACGTTCACTCGTTCACAGAGTACAAGGAAACATAAATCTATTTTTTTGCGACATGAAAAATAAATCTATTGGGGATGCCAGCTTAGAAAGATAGTTAAGCAAAGCAAGCACCGATTCGAGTAGCACAAGAGGGAACAACAACGGCATATTACCCAAACAAGGTGGATCCGGTGCCCTCCGCGCACCCCCCACACCACGGCGTCCAAATCAGGCACCACGTAAAGAAGGAGGTGCCGCCGGCGATCCCGAAGGCGCGTGGACACCTCCCGCACTACCTCGATGGTCGTGACGGCGGCAACTCCTTGTCACCGTGGAGCATCATGTCGTCCGGCCAGAGGGCGGCCAGGGAGGCGGCGCGGCAGGAGCGGTGTGCTGCGTTCGGCAAGTCCGACGAGGCATTCGCCTGGGTTCGCACGGACCCCGACCTCGCGGAGGCCTGGACCCTTGACCGGTCGCTGACCCCGCCGAGACGACCGTTTGTTCAATTGCACTTTTAAATGTTTACGGGCATGGTTGGATGAACTGCTCCCATGTCATTTTTTGCGGACACATCGGAATACATCCACATACAAATACAGTGTTCGTTTTGAACATGCCCTCAGCCACGACTAGGTAACGTCAGCACACACACTCATGCTGTCTACGCGGTACCATGTAGCACGCACATGCAGGCCCCGGCTCTTGAGACATCTTCTCGTTGAGTGCAAGAGCACCGCACACCAGCTCGCTAACTAATAGATTTAAAATGGCAGCAAATGGGACAGATATCTAGCAAGCACGAATAAACGAATAAAACGAGTAGGTTGCAGTTGCAAGCATGCGCAAGCAAATAAATCGAGTAGCTTGGGTTGACGCGCGCGTCGGTGCACCGTCCGGAACTGCCTGTGATTAATTCATTGGTTGTGCCCATTTTTGTCACGTCCCGGACGGCTTTTTCGTGCGAACCAGGTGCCACCGCGTCGCCCCAGCTATGTACGTAGGTCGTGTTGGCCGCACCGTCGGCTCCGAAGCTAGCTGACAACTTGGTATGCGTACGTCTCTCTCGAGAGCGCTGGATCGCGCCCTGGCAAAACCGCGTACACTACCGGCCGGTTTGGGCCCTGCCGTTCTCCACATGAATCCAGGCTACCCGTCCGTATACGCAACGTTGTTGCTAAAATGTGATGATGGGCAAAGCCATTGATGACCGATGAGTACAAAAAGGTTAAGAACATGACCGATGAGTACGTTGTACAGACCTGGTTTCATTAAAATTAAAAATATAAATATTTAATTAAGCTTCATTTCCTTGCAAGAGTATCAACACGGTCTGCCGTAAAAAGACTTCAAGCTCTGCATTGTGTGTACTCTCCGCTTCCAAAATAATTAAAGTTTTAGAGTTGTGCTATGATAAACTTTCTTAAGTTTGATCAGCTCTACAGAAATATTTACTAAGATCTACAACACCAAATACACATAATACGAAAGTATATTTAGTAAAGAATCTCATGAGACTGATTTATGCTATAGATGCTAATATATTTTTAAGAATTGATTGAACTTAAATAAGTTTGACTTAGGTCAAAATTTTGGAACTAGTTAGGCCGCTTATTGCCTTGGCTCAGTGGTTGGGCATGCGGTTGTGCAGCCTAACGACCCGAGTTCAATTCCTAGAATTGACAGGTGATGCACGGGGGTTTTCCCCCGTTTATTGAGGATCAAACTTGATATGTGGTGGAACCTATCATCAAGAAATATCTTGATACTCATTTAAAAAAATTCTGAGGACCATATATATCTTGGTACTCATACTAAAATGGCCGTATGCATCCCTGGTTGGTGCGGAGGCCGGGAAGTGAAAAAATCTCTCCCATTTTATAGCAGAGAGAGCCTTGGCTCAGTGGTTGGGTATGTGGTTGTGCAACCCAACGACCCGAGTTCAATTCCCAGAATTGACAGGTGATGCACAGAGGTTTTCCCCCGTTTATTGACGATCAAACTTGATGTGTGGTGGAAACACACATCAAAAAATATCTTGATACTCATTTAAAAAATTCTGAGAACCATGTTTATCTTGGTACTCATACTAAAATGGTCGTATGCATCCTTAGTTGGTGCAGAGGCCGGGAAGTGAAAATCTCCCCATTTTTCTTAGATCAATTAAAAAGAGAACCATAGAGGAGCCCGGGTCGTCCTCCCCCTAGGGCGACTCGGGCGGCCAGAAACCTAGCCGCCGCCGCCGCAAACTCCCTCCTCCTCTCCCTCCGCCGCCGCCAGAAGACGCCAACGGGCTAAGCCCGGGGGCCGACGGTGGTGGCGGGGGATCTCCTCTCTCACGCGTCTCCGGGGTGGGGCGGACCCAGAGGCGCGTGGTGGCGCGACCGATCTGGAATCTGTGGCGCGGCATAAGGCCGGCCCGTCCTCGGACGGCGATGGCTTGGCGCGGCGGAGGCCAGGGATGCGGGCGCTGCGGATGGCCCTTCAGGCGGCGGTGGCGGCTGCTGTCAACGGTGGCTGGCTTGGCTGCGGTGGCGTGCATGCTGCCTTCAGATCGACGACGGCGGTGTGGAGGGCCTGGTGGTTTCATCGGCGGCACCTCCAATCAGATCTGTTCTAAACGGTGCAGCCGGCGGTGGTGGTCATCTCTTCCGTCAGAGGTGATCGACCTGAGGCTGGGTGTTCGGATCTCAGAATCCGTCATCTGGCACCAGCTGCGAGTCAGGAAGACGTAGTTGCCGGTGAAAACCGAGCTGACGACGGGCGATGGTGGCGTTCCACGTTGTTACCTTGATGAAGGCATCATCATGTGACTACCGTCGACCCACTCGTATTGCTCCGGGGGAAACCCTAGGATCTGGTGTTCCAGACCGGACGATGGCGGCACTGCGGTGTCGTTTCTCTCTTGGGAGCATCGTTTTGTGGAGCAGCGCTGGAAGTCAGAGGCAGGAGGTGGAGCGGCTTCGACTTGCACGGAGGTTCGGTGGAGACGTCAAGTCATGCCTGACCGACAGGGGCTACGCTTGGTCATGCCTGGTCGGCAGGTGCTATGCACGACAGATCCTCCAAGGGCTTCAAGTTGTGTCGGCTGGTGGTACTTGGCAGCATGGCGCTGAGGTGTATCAGTGGCGACCGCAGCGTGTTCAGCTGCTTGCGCGCTGGGAGGAGGTGCCGTTGGGTTCCGTGGTGGCGTTGACGATGGCTGGACCGAGCAAGGTTAATGCATCAGTACAGTTCTGAAGATGGAGCGGTGGCAGTTGGCGGCGGCGGCCTTTGAGAGCACGCCGGACCAGTGTGTGCCCTAGACCCAGCAAGTGGCTAGGTTGAGGTCTCAGGTCTTAGATGTTAGGCTTGGCTACGATGTCTATTTGGTATTAGGCCCGGGCTATCTGCGCCCCTTCATCAACTGGATAGGTGTAGCGACAGTTTGTTGCTTAGACGGCGGCTTTAGTCTTACTGTTGTATGACTTTGTAACGTCTTGTGAGAATAATTAATAAAGTGGTCGTATGCATCACCCAGATGCAGAGGCCGGGGGTCATCCTCCTTTTCTAAAAAAAAGTTAGACCGCTTTTACCCGGCGCTCCTCATCCTTGGGCCAAAAAGCTGCACGGAGATGGCGTGCTATACACCCTGGTCGGTGCTCTTCGTATCTGAACTCAGGGCGGAGAGAACCTCATCAAATGACATGGAACTCTTCTTCGGCAACTTGATTCTCTGCGGTTAGTTCTTCTCTCGACGAGCGGGTCCATGTTGATGATCACGTAGGACACGAAGGAGAGTGGATAGCAGACCGTATGAGGTACAGTTCTGTGCCATTTGGACCATGTCAATGTTGTCTGTGATACTGAGGAGATACATGGATCAAACCAGTATGGAGGTGGTGGCGTGCAATGGCATGAACCATTATAGATAATGCATTTACTCACCATCAAACCTCTGGTCTAGTGGAAGACCATGGCTCTTCGGATTTGCTTGCGAGCATTTCCACATCCCAACTGCAAACAAAGAGAACCAAGGCGATTCCCCTTGAGTTCGCTGTGTTTTGTTGCAGATATCTCATTCATGATGGTCTCAATGGCAGAATAGGAGGCACACATAGGGAAGATCGCCGGGGGAGACGTGCTGAAGTTGGCTAGATGGCGATGGTGGTGACAAGGGAGCTGGCCACTGGAGGAGGCGCGCATAGCGAAGATCACCGGGGGAGACGTGCTAAAGTTGGCTAGATGGCGATGGCGATGACAAGGGAGCTGGCCATTGGAGGAGGCGTGTCTGTTTCGAACAATGAGGACGAAATATCCAGTAGAAATCGTGCTTTAGGCTATGGAGAAGGAGGAATTGGCAGATTCGGTCCAACAATGGAAGTTGGCGGTAATACAAATCTTGTGTTTGGGCACCTCCTGGCCCAAGGTGGATGCGGTAGTGGTGGTGATGGTGATGTCATGACCGGGGATGCCAGACATGCCAATTATGCTGGACGGCGACGAGGAAGCAAGACCGAGGAGGAGGAAGGGGATACAGGAGATCACACAGCTGCTTCAACGTTCCTCTTGGTTCTGCAAGGATCCGCGCGCTCGTCATCAACTCGGGGTAGCAAACGAATGAGTGTATTGTCAATGTTGAGTCGTTCTCACACTAGCCATAATGGAGAGTAAATTACACTAGTAACACAGACGCTACCCTGGGCTATGTGCTACCTCCATAGTGAGTGTTATTCTAGAAAGTTCCTCAATCTTGTGCCTGTTCCGGAGCGCCAGAAATTGACTACCTACCCATTGATTGGATTTCTTGTTCTCCCAGATCCAATAGAAGTTTCAATGAGTCATTGCCAACTGCTTTAGCAGTAATGATCGAAAGCAGCAGAGGTTCAGTGATCAAGCTCTCAGGCTACTCATAGTGGGGAGTATCATATACTAGTGTCATGCATATGATATTATCTCCATAGTGCATAGTATCATAAAGTAGTATCATAGATGACCATATTTATTGTCATGCATAACAGAAAAGTAGCATAGCATTTAACATGATACGGTATCTACCTATGTTACTCTAACCCTCTCTCCTTCTTCTTTAATTGTGTGTCACATAAGCATGTTTGCTAGTCCCAAGTGCATGTTACCGGTTACTATTGCCAGCCTCACTATTAACATAAGTCTGGTGTCATACAAAACTTTATTTATTAGGTTATAGATTCATATTGTTTTGGGATATGTGATGTTGGAGTAACTAGTTAAATTACTTAATTTATCTCTCTCCTCATTAACTCATTGCATAATAGACAAATTTGCTGAGTTGGACCCGATGTTATGTTGAACTTACTCCCACTATGGCCAGTCTCGTAGCTTATATTGCGATAATTTGTCAGTTGCATTTAGAGCAAACGAATGTGTCTTCATTATGTACACAAGTGCATGTAAACCTCAAGTCAGTCGGTTAAGAAAGGGACCGATCCAAAGCAAATATCCACCAAGAACGAGAACTCTAACCAGCAAAAACGTACTCTATACAACGTTGAGCAATAGTGAATCTATCTGATTCTAAAGACATGTACAAACACTCAAACAGGTCCTGAACTAACAAGCATTGAGATCCAGCTAGCAGGCTAGACGAACAGCTCGAGCAAGACAGGCAGCCGGTCGGCGGCGGCCTGGTGCCCCGCCTCCTGATCTGACACCGCGAACCACCGGTCGAGCGCCATCTCCTCGCGGTGCCGCCGCATGTGCCCGCCGAGCGCCTGGCCCGTCTCGAAGCCCAGCCCGCAGATGTGGCAATCGTGCGGCTCCTTGTCCCCGCGCCTTTGCCGCTCCCTGATGGCCCTGGCGACGCCGACGCCGAGCTCCAGCCCGTGGCGGCCGCGGAGGTGGCTCGTCCGGTGCCCGCCCAGCGCCTGAAACGTCGCGAAGGCCCGGCCGCAAGTCTTGCAGACGAACTCTCCCTCCCCCGAAGTGACCACCACCCTCCCCCCCCGTGCCCTCTTCCTTGGCGCTGCGGCCGCTGCCGCCGGCGCACAGGCCGAGTTGTCCGACGTCGTAGTCGACGCCGAGGAGTCCGTGCTGAGAGACAGCGCCAGCGACACAGCTGGCTCCTCCTCCCTCGCGCGCTTCATCCCCGCTCCCATGGATTTGCGACTCCTCTTGATGATCTGCTGGATTTGCGTTGCTGTAGTTGTGTGAGAGGATGAGAGCTCGATAGGAGGAAGGAAGGATGGATGGGTCGGCAGGGAGGACGGCCGCACTTATATATAGGCTCTGTTGGTGGAATGCGTGTTGCTGCCGGGTGAGCTTACGTGTGTGCCCAGTTGGTGGGGGCTGGCCTACCTCTGGCTCTGTGGACCAATCGTTCGAAGCCACCGCAACGTTCGCGACGTGACGGATAGGATCGGGCTCCCGGATATATCAGTCGTGCGTAGCGCAGCCGAACGTGTGGTGCGGAGTGGCGTCAGATGTCACGCCACAAGGCGGGTGGCGCCGCGCAGCTGTTTAGTTTCCAAACACTCTAGATTTGAACAGCGGAAAGGCCTGGAAGGTTCTAGAGCCGGGGAAAAGATCTTTGAATGGCGCAAGACTATTCAGACTTGTGTGTGCTGCATACGTACTCCGTAGTTTCTACTACTGAAAAAGGGTTTCCCCCACTTTGTATACAAAGCAACCAACCAAACCATAAAAGGATAGATGTTAGGGCGGAAGCAGCACAGACACGCCCAAAAGAAACGACGGAGAAAGAGCAAAAGAAACAAATGCCGACAACGGCGGATCAACAAAAAATGAAGAAGCCTCGCAATCGCTGCGCCCACCGGAATCTACCCCTAGGCTCCAAGACTCCGAAGCGCCGGCACCTATCAACACCTCCAAGAAGGATCACGACGATGACGACGATGCTGCCAAGGGTTTCCCCCGGTACACGACGAGGCGAGAGCAGGGTAGCCCCCGACGCCCTCCCGGAAGGTCAGGTGGCACCCTCAAGCGCCACCGCGCCGGTGTCGGCCACGCCGACAGGGGTTTCCCCCGATCCCAACCCGCACCTCGGGTGCTCTGGATCCATCCACCAAACCAACCACCACCCTGCGCCAACATGGTCATGAAGCCCCACGCCGTCTCACCACGGCACCATGAAATGAGGGCAGTGCGGCGAAGGATCAGAGCCGGGACTAGGGCATCAGCACCATCGGCACGCGGGAGGGCCCCACCTCCACCGTCAGCGACGGTAGCCGTCCGGACGCAATAGCAGGAGCACACCAGGCCCGTGGGCCCACAGGCCCGGCCGAGCCCTCGTGGGCCCGTAATGCTCCCGCCTTCGCGCTGCTGCCGGCACGTCATCGGCGCCGACGGCCCATATCCGAACCGCTCCTCCTCCTCACCGCGCTGCAGACAACGAGGCCACGCCGGGGGCCGGCCCGCTAGGGGACCCAGATGGAGCCCGCCGGGCCCATATCTGGGCGGGGGCGCGACGTCGGTCACCCAGCACCACCACACCGCCCCGCCACCAAGGAGCAGCGCCGCCACCACATCTGTCGCCAGCCACCCCGCCGGGTCACCGGACCGCCGCCAAGCCGAGCGATACCGCCGCCGCCCCCCTGCCCCGGGCCAGGAGGACGCGCGCGCGGGGGTGGGAGATCCTGCCGCCGCCGGCACCCCCCGGGCCGGAGCCGGGGGCGC